AAAAGCGACTTTCTAGGAAACCAGAAACTTACAACATTTTCTTCGGCAAAAAAAGCTTAAGGTTCTCGCAATTTTTTTGTCTGCTACTTGTGATAGCTAATAGCAGCCTTTTTATTATGTCATTTAGGTTTGACCGATACCTCTTCCTTTGTCTAAGTTGAAAATTTCTCACAAGTAAACAACTAAGCCATGCTCATAAATTCCCACTCTGCGCTGACTCTGGCCCATTACCTCCCACACCCTCCTCCTTTCCCAATGAAAAGAAACTTCACTTACGCACCTATTCCATTAGCCTGTTCCAGGCATCCTATTGGTAAAATGGAGCTAAGATGGGAGGGAGGTCTGGGTCGTGTCGTTCGTTCTTTACCTGACCCGTTCCAGATCTCCCTCGTTTTACCACTCCTCCGCTACTATTCCGCCGTTTACCAAAGCACTTTGTTTTATTGACTGAACTCCTGTGTTAAGAACCTCTTGCGCTTTTATCGTGCTTTTTATATGAACAACCTGTATTTGATTTATAATGGTAATAGGACTGAGTGGAGTTCAATAGGGTCTGTAATCATACGAGTTATTGACAAAATCGTGGTAGTCCGATTTGTTTGTATATCACGAGTATGATAACACATAGAATTTGTCACATAGAAGGCGAAACGAAGTCTTGTTACCAATTTATCAAAACTATGACAAAATTTGAGAAAGGAACTGGACATTGGTTATCTGTTTCCTTTAAAAAAAAAGTTTAACTCGGCGAAATGTGCGAGAACAGTGCGTGCATATGACACGTACTGTCCACTAGCACAGGCATGACGTCAAATTATCCCAGTACACTGTCCAATTACAAGCATGATACGTACACTATCCTGTTAGTGCTCAAATTGGACTGGTGATAACCAATCGTGTTCAAAAATGTTGTTATAGTTTTGATTATGCTTGTTAATTCACCACCCGGTTAATATCTTCACGGATCTCCAGTCAGAGAGAGTCTGCGCAAATGTAAGTTTTAATAACTTAGTCTTGTTCAAGTAACAACAACTCACTTAAATGACTCATAAAAAATTCTTGAAAATCAAAAGCATGAAACATATATATATATATATATATATACATATATATATATATATATAACTGCAGACAGTGCAGTGTCATCAGTGCAGTGCTGATGCTAGGATGGAGGTAAGGCCATATAGCCACCCCAATATATATATATATACACAACCCGCTTTCGATTTATAATGGTAGTAGGACTGAGTGAGTCCAACTGACTGAGTGGACGAACACGAAGTGGGAGTCCGACTTGTCAGTCAAAACTATGACAAAATTTGAGAAAGAAAATAGACATCGGTGACACGCTTTCATTGACAAAAAAGAAACCGGGCCCAGTTGTATAAAGGGCAGATAACGCTATACAACCGACAAATCGCTATCCAGTGGATAAGTGATTGCGAAACGTTTGGTGATCTCCACTGGATAGAGATTTATCGAGTGGATAGCGTTATCCTACCCTTTGAAAAACTGAGGCCAGAATTTTTAGAGGCGCGACGTTAAATTTTCCTATTACGCCGTTCAATTATAAGCAGGTGGTCAAATAAGGCTGGTGATAACCGATTATGTTCAAAACATTTTGTTATAGTTTTGATTACGTTTGTTAATCCACTACTTTCCGGGTTAATATCTTCACGGATCTCCAGTCAGCAACAGTTTCCACAAACGTTTGTTTTAATAACTCAATCTTGTTAAAGTAGCAACAACACAGTTAAATGGTTAATAAACAATTCTTGAAAACTAAAAACGAGAAACGATCGTTCACAAACCAGATCAGTTCAACAAAAAAGTTTTAAAAGCCTCATATCTCCATTCATGTATCGGAAACAGAACTCTCCAACGACAACATGACTGAGAGGAAACTAGTCACTGGCAAACGTTTA